TTCTCGATTTGAGTCTGATGATTATCCATTGAATTTGACTTGTGTTTATCGTAATTTTTATTAGAGTGTTTGTTCATATTTTCTAAGTGGTTTTGGAGTAATTAAATCCTTAGATTTAAAATGAAAAGACTTACAACCCCACATGCTGTGACTGAAAAGTGCACTGGAAGACTGATTGATTTCTTGATAAGGAACTAGGTACAATATAAAAAAATGTTTCTCATAGTTTTTGTAAGTTCTTTACAGGAAGTTACGAAGAATATACATAAAAAAGTAGAAAGAATCTTAGATATGCTGCCAGTAGAGGGAAAATCAGTTTATGGATTAAACGTATCTCAAGTTTTTTCAGCTTTCACTCCACCTGGCATGCCTTTTGGTGTGTAAAGCCCAGCATTTGACATACTTTTTTTTCTGCTTCTGTGTGTTTTAGCAGTATTTCTGGATATGTGACAGCACATATGGACCAGCTAGTAGCTTGTTTTAACTTTCTTACAATGAATACTAACAGCTAAGCAACGCTTCCTGAATGCGTTTGAAACTAATAATATGGTGTTGAACTTGTGCTTAAAGTACTTTTCCTGTTTTAGTAGGAAAAAAATGTAAAGTGAATGAGGCTGATTCATCTCATCTTGCTGTTTCACATGACAGGTCTGGGAACGCTTTCATACAGCTCTGACAGTGAAAGAAGTAGTTGGGTGGAAGTGTTGTACAGTAGTACAAAGAACAGGATTGCACAATAGCTTGTTTATCATATTTTTATTAGTTTACTTTTAAACAGGTCATTACCTACAGGAGTGTGAGGACAGAAACAGGCATGCAGTGTGACTGGGTGGAAGGCCGGGTGGTCCTTTTGTCATCAGCGGTAGCTTGGGCTGGTTTTAGGTGGTGTATTAGCCTACTTTATTCTGATGGTCTCTCAAAATGTTGTTTCAGGAGATTTCAGGAGGGGAAGCTGACCTCCTAGATAATCTGTTACCCTTGCTTGCTATCCCATAGTTGACATAATCCTATATATACAGAAAAATATTTGTGGACTGCAGACATTAAAGAATGTCAAAACTGGGATGCGTCCTGGAGAACAGGTCTTACGAGGAGTGGCTGAGGGAACTGGGGTTGTTTAGCCTGGAGGAGATTGAGGGGAGACCTTATAGCTGCTACTTGAAAGGAGGGTGTAGTGAGGTGGGTGTCAGTCTCTTCTTGCAAATAACAAGTGATAGGGCAAGAGGAAATGACCTCAAGTTGCACCATGGGAGGTTTAGTTTGGACATTGGGAAAAAATTCTTTACCAAAAGAGTAGTCAAACATTGGACCAGGCTGCCCAGGGAAGTGGTGGAGTCGCTATCCCTGCAGGTGTTCAGAAAACATGTTGATGTGGCACTTGCAGGCGTGGTGGTATTAGGTCAGTGGTTGGACTAGATGATCTTAGAGGTCTCTTCCAACCTAATAATTCTGTGATTGTATAAATGTTTTCTTTTACTATATGTACGTCTTTGGGTTTGAAGGATGAGTGTAATTTGACGGTATATATGTGAGAACAGAGTTACTTCTGTTTTTTTTTGAAAAGACCCTGAGATATTCAACGATTTATTTTTTAAAATAATCTGGGGTGATAACCATGTTCTGTTTTTTAAAATAACTTTTCGTGTCTCTTATTATGTGAAAAAGTAGAACTATAAAAGCACGTAAAATGACAGTTTTGTGTAATGTTGTAGAAACCTATGGGTAGATTTTTACACTGACGAATGTCTATCTTCGTTTAAGATTTAAATATCCGCACTGGATTGACTGCCTTCTGTGCAGATATCTGCACATCATTGTGTATATGGTCTTTAAATGCTGAGGGTATTTATAGACTTTAACCACTGACAGCTATTTTAACTTTCTCAAATTGCAGTTTTCATTTCCGTTGTTCAGATGCTTCAGTTTCCAGGTATTTGACAGCAAGAATCAATGATTCTATTATTATGGGCAAGGAATCAGTTTCATTCTTAAAAATTCAATATTCGTATATTCGTTCCCCTTTTATTTTTTGTGTATATACACCTATTGTGTATATATATATTTATATAAATACACATTTTCGTGCTTTCTAGGTAAATGATAACTTGAACCTTGACCTGTCAGATGATGAAGAGCTGAGAGAACAGCTAGATATGCATTCTATTATCGTTTCCTGCATCAATGATGAACCACTTTTCACAGCAGAACAGGTAAAGTGTTCAGCAAAGACAGCATTGTTGGTATAGTATCTTCTTTTAGTCTGTAATTATTTTTTGTTATTCTTCCTTGCTGTTCACCATAGCTAAGCTTCTTGATTGTTTTATATTTAGGGTCCTAATAGTGTCTGAGATATTACTACATCATTCAGATTTGAAAGGTATTCCAGTGCTTCAGGTGAGGTTGATAGTCCAGGGTCTTTGAAATCTTTCTACGTTTCTTACCATGAGTTAGTCAGAAATACTACTAAATTAAATATATGTGTTAAGAAGCAAAAATATTTTCAGAATGTTAGTAGTATTGTAGAGTTTGTAGTTTTCCAGCATGACTGTATGGCCATTCATATTTTCACGTGGCTTTGTAGTCAGTGAGAATTCTTTGAAGTTTTTGCCTGATAGGAGGGCAGCTCAACGGTTCTAAGCTTTCAAATTACTTAGTGTCTAAAGGCTTCTGTTCCAAATCCATGGATTTACTGAAGTTACCTTGAAAATTGCTCTTCTGAGTAAGGTTAATGACTGTCCATTAAGGTCCTGCTTTAGTAAGTAAGTGCAAGAATATGTTTTCTTGTTTACATGGTTACCTGGGAACTCTGATGAACATAGTCATTAAGAGTATAAGAGACAGGATTGCTTAAACTGCCTCAGCTCTTTTTTACTGAGGTTGATCTCAGCATGCTCTACAGCCTTTAAACCTGTAAAAGCTAATGTGTTATTTATTCAGCTGTTTAGTTGATAATTTAGTCATTGTTGATAATAGTTGATAATATTGTCATTTCTATACTGAAAAGTAAGATCTCTATGCACAGGATTTCTGTTCTCATACTTTCTTTCTGGCTCGGGTCTTAGGCCCAGGGATGCAAATCAGCTTTGGGTTATGATGGATCAGTTCATAAAGCTTCTCACAAGCACAGTAGATTTTCAGGTTATTCAGAGCTTTTTTCTTTTGCTTAGAGAAGTGAAATGCAGAGTGGAGAGGTAATTGATTTTTCTTGTTGTTTTGTTTTCATTCAACTGAATACTTGGGAAAGATACTCCAGCTCACTCTTCAGTTCAGTTCTCTTAAGCAGAACCATGTCTGCCTTCATACAGAAATAGCTGTGTCGTTTCAACATGCTGCTTGTCATGAGATCATTCATTTAGTAGACTTATTTTCAGAGAGCAAGGGTGAGGAGGAAATGTCAGTATGATTTTGTAGGTTCTCCTCCATCCAGTCTTGGTATCTGTTTCATACAGCAGCATCTTCGCTAACTGAAAATAAAAATACCCGTAAGCTCTTAATAGCTTTATTTCAAATTGCAGGCTGTTTCTCTTTGTGCAAAAGGGTTTTCATAAGGTTTTTCATTTTTTGAAGGTGATTGAAGAAATAGAGGAAATGATGCAGGAATCACCTGATCCAGAAGATGATGAAACGCCCACCCAATCAGATCGGCTCTCCATACTTTCACAGGAAATTCAGACACTCAAGAGATCCAGTACAAACAACAGCTATGAAGAGAGTAAGTAATATTTATTTAGTATTTTCTTTATTGAAAATACTTTAAACGGTAAGTTTACCATGTGTTGGATTTATAGCAAGGTCTTCTTATGAAATATCTGCATTGAAACGTATTTTCAAAATGTCCTGAAAGAATAAACTAGAATTAGAACATAAATAGAAAACTTACCTTTGTCAGCTTTCGTAACTTGGAATAAAATAAAACTTCATAGAATTTCAAATTAAAGCAAACATGCTGAAGCTTGATTTGCTGGAATGAGGTCCCTTCATAGGTAAAGTGATAAGTCAATAATTTTTATTAAACTTTATTAATTTCTGTGTTTTAAAGTGAGACACTTTCTTGAGGCCAGTACACAAAAACCTTGTATCTTCTTCTACTCAAATGAAATATATAGTTTAATTGTAGTAGGTTGAATTGTACGTAAAAGAAACCTGTGATTAATTAGTTTTGTAATGGAAATTTGTTTTATCTGTGTATTTTTTCTAAATCAATTCTAGAACCATAGATTGGTTTGGGTTGGAAGGGGCCTTAAAGATCATCCAGTTCCAACCCCCCTGCCATGGGCAGGGACACCTTCCGCTAGACCAGGTTGCTCCAAGCCCTATCCAACGTGGCCCTGAACACTGCCAGGGAGGGGGCAGCCACAGCTGCTCTGGGCAACCTGTTCCAGTGTCTCACCACCCTCATAGTGAAGAATTTCTACCTAATAGCTAATCTAAATCCACCCTCTTTCAGTTCGAAACCGTTACTCCTCATCCTATCACTACACTCCCTGGTAAAGAGTCCCTCCCCACCTTTCCCATAGGCCCCCTTTAAGCACTGGAAGGCTGCTGTAAGGTCTCCCTGAAACCTCTTCTCCAGGCTGAACAGTCCCAATTCTCTCAGCCTGTTCTCATAGCAGAAGGTCGTAGGAACACAAAAAATATTTGCTAAATGATCCTTCTATTTTGGTCCCTCTTACAAAGTTTGGTGCTTTTTTTCCTGTAGTCTGGGTCAGCAATGTAAATTCTGTAGAAGATTCAGAAAACTGGCTGACCTTTTGTGACATGACTTACAGTTCAGACTTATGCTACATTCAGATTTATGGAGGAGATCCCATTTTCATGGTTGGACTCTTAGCTGTCTCAACACATAAATTTCAGGAATGTGAAAGCAAAATATATCCTGCTCGGCAGGGCTTCCTGCTTTTCTGACAGTTCCCTGTGTCCTTAGGTTTGGAGATAATTAGGCTTGCTTGGTATTTCATGTCATATTTATTTTGCTTTGCCTCAGGAGTTCATCTTGTCTGTTGCGTCTTTGTGGTTTAAAGGTCAGCCTTGACCAAACAGTGCCTTGAGTTACTTTGGCAGGTAATTTAACTTTTCTTCGCCAGTTTCTCAGAATCCGCTTTCATGTCTTTCAGGTCACTGTTTTATGAAAAGCTCTTGCTACTTTTTTTGTCTGTGAAGCTGCTTCAGAATTAGCCTGCATCTCTCTGAAATTGTTTCAGGGTTTTCCTAGAAGCTGCGTGGCTTTTATGAGACAAGTCAGAGGTGTTAACGTTTAGAATTGAGAGCAGGAAATCAAAGCTTGTATTTTTTTCTTGGATAGGAAAAGGCATGTATTAAAACAATCCAAAAGTAAAACCAGTTACAGCTCTGATTACACAGGTGAGTCTTTTAGCCTACATACATAAGATCTAATCAAAGTAGTCATCTACATTTGAATTACTTTGTCTTCACTCACCTACATCAGCTGAGTAGTTTCCATGTAGCCCTTTTATAGGCTGTGATAACAACAATTGATCGATCATAAACAACTCAGGATTGCAGTTCAGTATTCTGCACCTATGTTTTTGGAACAATTGTTTCTTAGGCTGTGAAGCTGGTTCTTAAGTGTTGGGACTCGCTGCTGCTCTCCCTAGTCATCTTTCACAAAAACAAAACAGTGATGCAACCTATGCTTTTTAGACTGTCCTTTGTACTGAATACATATGAAACTTAGTCGTATTAATTTTTACCACAGAGCATACTGAGTTTCACAGACTATAAGGCCTATTCTGCAACATTCACCCACAGAGCAGCAGATAATCTTGTTGCTGAATTTACCTCTCTTCCCCTTGCTTATGTTTGTGAGTTGATGTTGCTGTTTGCTATTGCTGACAACCAGAGTTGGCCTTGCAAAAAGTTACTGCTGTGGTAGGACCTGCTGTGCTACATGCAATGACTGTGAGCACAGCCAAGATCTGTGTTACAAGTAGAGGTCGTAACCTGCATGCTGCATACTTAGAATACTTTAAACAACAATATAGGCGATGGATGGTTCAAACTACTTGAAAATTAGATCCTGAAGCATATGGTACTGTTACAGTGTTTGAACAGAGTTTACGGCGGCCTAAGCTGCTCTGAAAAACTTGTGTCTCCTTGCTGGAGAATTGCTTTAACAGTTTTTTCTTTAGTAAGTGACAAGGAGCTTTTCCCCGCTATAATCTAACTTGAGAAAAATCACATTTCACTTACTACCTTTGATGCTTTTAAGAGCTATACTTTCTTGTAGTTTGTGGCCTTATTATTTGCGTTTTTCAACACTCCTCTGTAGGCACTTTCCCTTATAACAATTTTTTAGCCATTTACAAAACTAATTGAACATAACCAAATAATTACAAACATCTATGCAGTGTCCTTAAACAGATCGTACCCTTCAGTGTAACCAGGACTAGCCATTTCTCAAATGACAATGAAAATTAATTTTCAAGTTCTTTGATGTAGCAACTGCTGGGACTTACTAGCTTCCTAGGTGTGCCAGACTTCATTGAGAATGGAAAGGAGTCCTCAGAAAAGATGCTCACTTTTAACCCAAGCAAACCTCGGAACATTCTTCTTGGTCATAATTTCACTCTCTGTAGCACATGACTCAAAAGTACCTTTAAAATGCAAACCTAGAGGGTTTTTTTTGTTTCCAAACTGACATTTTACAGGCTTCTGATTTAGCTTTGACCAATTCAGTCTCATACTTTTTCAAAACTATTAAAGTTTATTTTTGATTGAAATGACCCTGCCAGCTAGTTTTTGTCTGGGTCTTTGTTTCAGGCAATACAAGGTCATGCTTTTGACTACAGTTCCCAGACAAAGAAATTTTGGAGGATTTTCTTTATGATGGCACAAGCTTTTATTAATATGCATGCATACCTTAGCAATATTCCCAAGAAGATTCCCTTGCTCGTCATTTCTATCTTTCTTACTGTAGGTGAAAAATCCAAGGATTCCAGAAATGCCGAAGTGTTGATTGTTGTGTCAGAAAATATGGAGACCTTTTACTTTGAACAGTGAGTGTAGGTGGAAAGTAATAGTTAACAGAGGTGTCAGTGTTAGAAGTTTAGCACTTACTTCAGCTCCCTTAAGTACAACATGCTCTTCATATTTGCAAATTATCTCAGATTTCTCAGAAATGAGAACAAAGTTTAACCATCTTCTTGTTGCTAATCTAGTTGCCTCTGTGAAGTGTTTATTTCTTTAGGAATATTGTTTTGTTCTCTTACCATTGAATTGAATTTTTTGTTTTGAAAGTTGAGTACTTTTTTCTTGTAATTCGTACAAGTATTGTCATGCTTAAAATCTTGACAGATTACTTTTTATATGAACTATTTATAGGAGTAAAAAGATTGTCCGTTGCTGAGTTAAATGAACTGCTGGAAGAAATCGAGACTGCTATTAAGGATTATTCCGAGGAACTGGTACAGCAGTTGGCTCTACGAGATGAGTTGGAGTTTGAGAAGGAAGTGAAAAACAGCTTCATTTCTGTCCTCATCGAAGTACAAAACAAACAGAGAGAGCACAAAGAAACGGCAAAGAAGAAAAAGAAGCTGAAAAATGGTAGTCCTCAGAATGGCAAACAAGAAAGAGGTCATATGCCTGGAACAGTAAGAAAATTTTCGTAACTGTTTATACATTCAGAGGTTTGTTTTTTGTTGTTTTTTTTTTCCCTATGGGAAGTAGTATTAAGATACCTGGTACACCTGCTTCCACGCCTTCATTCGCAGACAAGGCTTAGGCAATTTCTATTGAGATTATTTTTTTCACAAGATCATACAACATTTTACTCTTCTCATACTCAAAAAAGGTTTTTATGTTGTTTGCAAATTAGCCTGGAATCAGCATACCTTTCTTGCAAAATAATACTGGGTTTGGATGTACTGCTGTGAGTTCTGTTGTCAGCAGGCAGACTCGTTGATCTATTTGGTTTCACTGTGTGAATTTTAGTATGTGTGTACCACTGTTAGTCTTGCAGGAAATTCAGTATTATTGTTGGTGTAGTTGTACAGATATTCATTGATCATGTTGGGTTTTAGGTCGGAACCTTTACCCTGGATCTCTTGAAACCTGTAGCAGAGTTACTACATCCAACGAGAGGCAGGGGTGAGGCCAAAGTGTAGTGTAGATATACAGGAGGAGATAATTTGGTTTATTCTTTACAGAACATAGCAACGAAAGGAAGACTGTCTTTCAGAGTTTGCATAATAGGAGGCAGAGAATGAAATAAATTAGATTATTATCTTGTGAATGGAATTCTTTCTTTCTTGTCTGTCTAGTATAATTTTAAATTAAGTGGGATATTAATGTTAGAATTTCTTAGTGTCTATTACAGGATGCAGAAAATGTGGCTCATGTATTGTAGATCTTGGCTAAATCCCAGAAAGAATCCTTCAGTTTGACATCAGAAGGTTTTTGGTTTTGTTTTTCAAACATAAGGAGTAAATATTTGTAATGGAACATTAATTCTTCATAGTCTGTTTCTAAACTTACAAGAATAAGATACCTGTGATATAACATACATGGAGTTCTGATCTTGTTCATCTAGTGAAAAGTGTTTGTGTACATAGATAAGTTTTAATGGAACTGTAAGTGTATGTCTTGATGACGATTTTGTATTGTTTTCGCTTTGCAAGAGCCCAGTGAAAAGTTCAAATGTACTCCTTTTTGGTTCTCGATCATGGAAAAACAAGAAGTGGTATTCTAACTAGAAAGAAAAATAATTATTTGGTTTTGAAACTTGACTCAAGTAATTAATAAGCTATTCTGGTTAGTTTCAAGTTCAGAGACTTGAAGAAAGCTTTCAAGTATAGCTGTATGTGATCCCAATATAAGACATTTTCATATTTGATTGCTTCAAGATACAGGTGTGTCAGATTGCTTTCTGAGAGGGATTGAACAGACTAGCTCCCAAATAAAACTGTAGGCTGCATTCCTTTGAAAACATCTTTCACTGTCACCAAGTACAGATTTGAGAGCCTTCTCCCAGAAAGCGGTGCAAGCTTACTTCCTGCAATGCTCTTTATTTTCCTTTAAGAAAGTGCTAGAATATGCGTACAGGTAGTATGTTCAGGTAACTTTGTGAAGAATGAGTTTCTGTTAATAAATAATGTATAAATTAGCCATTTTATTAACTAAAACTATAATGAAGTCTCGTTTAAATACAAAGCTTGGAAGTACGGTTAAATTTTCATACTCAAAGAAAATCAATTCTCCTGTAGACACTAGAATTGATTTTTAATAAATAGAGGTTTTAGTTCTTTGTCCTTGTTACAGTCTTTGGGTAAATCACTTTCTTAGATTTCTAAAACTTTTACCTCTCTCACAAGGGCAAACTGGGGAGTAATTAAAAATAGTCAGGGCTTGAAGATACGAGTTCCTTTAAGCAGGATATCTTAAAAGAGTTAAGATGGCTTTGACAACATCTGTGTCTGTTTACTGACCTCATTGTGCTTTAGAAAGCAAATGAATACTGTATTCCAGCACATTTTATTCCCCCTCCCATAAATTAATTCATTCAGATAAGCATGCCGAGGTGTGCGCATCATACTGCCCTGTGTCGGCAGCTTAACAGTTTCTTCTTTTTATGTTCTTCTCAGTTGCTGATTTTTGAATCTCATGCTAAACATCAAAATTGCTTTGATTTTTTTTTGACTTTTTTTACTTTTACTTTTTTTTTACAAAGTTCAAGGAAAAAACTGTGATTGGATTATATATTAATTTTTTCTTTATTTGGATTCCGTGATTCTATGTAGTGGAGCTTGAAATTAGTATGAGTGAGTGCATTATTAACTAATTTCATATATTTATCATATTACAAATAAACGGGGAATACTAGTTGTGGCTTCAGTTGTGGAAAAGGAAGCATGAAAGCACAAAATGTTCTAAAAACGTAGAGCTGAAAATGACTACCTCTGAACAATGTTTCTAGTAGGTGCTTAAAATCTGAAAAATTGGTCTCAGCAGTGTCTGTAAAAGTATATTGCTCAAACATGAATTGTAAAGGAGATTGTTACTGTGAACTAAACTTTCAGGAATACTATTTTTTAGATTTCAAAATGAAACCGCCTCAAATGGCAAGTTGTGATTATTGGGTCTGCACTGTGAGGATTTTGTTTGATTAAATTTTGATGTAGATATACTGTCTAACTGTCATTATAAGGTTTACTTTTTAATAATAAAAATTAAGTAGGTGAATGAAAAAGTAGAAATGTGCTGAAATGCGTCTTACAGCTTGTCTTTGTCATTTGTCTTACAGTCTTGATAAACACTGATTAATAGTCTTCTGAACTTTTCTCTGTCCCTTTTTTCTTTCTGCTATGTTTTCACTACTTTTAGCGCTTCAGCATGGAAGGGATCTCAAATGTCATACAGAATGGCTTCCGCTACACATTTGGAAACTCGGGTGGAGAGAAACAGGTGCTGGGCTATCTTCTCTGTTTTCCTCATTCTTTGCCTGCACTTTCAGTAGGAGTTGAGATCTTGAAAATTGACAATAGTTGAAGATAAATGCTGAGAAAATAGGACAAAAATGTTGGAATCTGTACTCACCCTGCCTTGGGACTTTGGTCAGCTTACAGTCATTTTCTCTCCTTAACAGCTTGAGACAGTCAGGACTTGATATCCTGATGCACTGAAATAATAACCTTTATTTCTTACCCCAGACTAACAGTCTGTTTTCGCATAATGCGTGCTTCAGATACGTTGCATGTCTGTGAAAATCTAATATCCAATAGAGGAATATGTAACAGGTTAGGCATAACATTTCAGCTTTCAGCATTAAGGACTTGGGTAATATCTCGAACTCAAAAAAGGTTTTGTTTTCTTTTCTTCAAATGTTCAGAGCTGATATATCTAAAAACAGAGTAGCCTCTGGAAAATGCATGGACTCTACTGTGTGTCCTTTTGTCTTTGAAAACTGCATGATGTTAAAAGCAGACAAATGTGTGCAATGCAAATTACTGATACAAAATAGACTAGTTTGTGTCTTTTCGTTGACTAAATGTTGAAATATACAGCACAGAGGCCCAGCTTCTGTGGGTGTCATTATAGATGTTACGTATACCTAAGAAGCAAGGTTCTTGGGCTTTATTTCATAGTCATACTTAATTGTTTGTTTCAGAACTGTAGTATGTATTTTATTAAATGTATTCTGTATTTTGGTAAAGTGTTAATGCTTATGGTATTGTTTAGCCTTTTGGCACACGTTGCAAAATACTGGTATTTCACATTATTTAATGCATACCCACCCATATAGTTTATGCAGCTGTGTCAGAAGAGTGCATTAGATTCTGCCCTCCTCCCTGGTGAGAAGTCCATTGAGGCAATAAACTGCCTGGTAGTGTAGAAGTCATGGCTGATCAGGTTTTTGTCTGGAAGATGACTAGAGTATCCTGCAGAGCAGTTCAGGAGGTAAAAGAACTCCTTTGAAGTTATTCTTGAATCATGAGGTTAGAAATGGTGGACTTACCCTCTTTCTCCAACAAGGTATATGTATGAGAGGTCATGAATACATAGATCCAGCTATTTGTCCTGAGCTTTGGGGATCTTGAACACATGCATAGAACTTACCTAACTGAGTTTTTATCACTCTACATTATCTCAATACTGGTAAAGCAGTAGCTGCGCTGTTGTTTTTTATTTTTTTTTTTATTTTTTTATTTTGTTATCTTTACCATTTAATAATTAATTACAGCTGCTTACCTGTATCTTTAGCTGGTTTAAATACATGTATTTTCATAAAGTGAACATATTTAGCTATGTCAGCCCCTCTTACTTGTGGTTAAAAGACTTCTTTTCTCTGCAAGTCTCTGTTCAAATGCACCTTTTCTTCTTTGACTGCCTCCTAACTTTCTAGACTTAAGTAGCATCATCATATATTAACAGTAACACTGATTGGATAACTCTTCCAGTCATTTTTTGGAGTTAGTTTACTAACATTACTCTTCTTGTTGATCATACTTTTCCTCTGATTTATCTTATACTATAGCCTTCTTAGCAGAGTTACGGGCGTGTTTTTCCCTTCCTTTATCCTAAAGCCAATCGTGGAAATAACAAGAACTTAAAATGAAAAATAGGGTAGAAAAGTAGGAAAGATACCATCTCTTTTCTGATTTAGTCCTGGAAAGCTATTTTTCTATGGCATTTGGGTTTTGTTCAGTTTTCATCTGGTTCATTGGTTTTTGTCACATTACCAAACCTTCACCCTGCTTTTAAAATATTACATCATCTTCTTATTGCAGCAAGTTGCAGAGTAGAAAAAGTGTTAGATGTTCAGTTGCTTAGTGCTGCTCTCAGAATATTTATTTTAATGGTATTTCATGGTGTATTGTCATTATAAACTCACATTCAGATGTTTTCTGCTCTCACGGAAAAGTTAGAATCGGAGTTGTGCTCAAAAAAAAAATACAAGGACAGACAGTATTTTGTGTACCTTAGAAGCTAGAAGTTCATACACATACAGTCACAAAGCTTATGACAAGTTTGTACAGTTATTTCAGAACTCATGTCACTCATGAGTTTTAGTGGCATTTACCACCTTTACTATTTTCTGGGTAGTATTGCTCTGATAGTGGGTACTTTCTTTTTTTAAAATTTTAGTACTTTTGTTTGTGCATGCGTTTGAGATGTAAGTGAAAATTACTTGGAATTTTTCAACATTTAAAGAGAAACTTCCCATTTAAAGAGGAACTCCCTATTCCCATCTGATAATGCAGTTGCAAAAAACCAATATCAGCTGCATAAAAGCCGTTGAAATGTTGGTAGCTCTTTCTGTGATCATATTTCCAGAAGAAAATTCAAGATAGTCATCTTCATTTCAATTTTTATACATATCAGACACTTTTTATGGGTGATTACAAATTGCAGTGGGAATTGCTGCTTATCATATTGTCAAATGTGCCTCAAAAATTTAGAGGTCACAGTAGACTTAACACTTGTCTATGTTAGTAAGCTGCATACTAGTCACTTTTTCCTCCTTTATATATCCTTCGCACAGCAATTCAGGGAATGAGGTTTTATAGTGCTATTACAGAGGCTTATTGTTATAGCGGCAAAGTATTCATGAGAAAAACAAGATGATTTCTGGAAACTAAGAAAGCAATTACTTTTTATTTTTATTATTCTTATTATTAGAGAGGAAAATGGGAAGATGGAGTTTACAGGTGTTTGGTATTTGGTCCAGTGAAGCATGTCCTAGTAATTTGTGGTCTAGGTAAAGGGTAGAATGCCACTTAGTTCTGAAGGCTGGAAATGACAGCCTGAGATCTGATTTCTGGGTTAGTAGATCTACTTTCACCTCTGACAGTGATTGCAGATTTAACAGCCTTATATCTAGGTATTGATTCCAGTAATTTTAGTAAGAGTGCAGTTCTCTAATGATACCCCTTGGTTACATCTGCTGGAAAAGAAATTGAAAACTGACTGTTTCCTAAGAAGCGTTGCATACTTTCCTGTGGTGTGCTAAGCGGATGTGAGAAACTGCAAAAGGAAAAGGGAGGGAGAAAAGCGCCCTGTGTTTGCATAAGGTCTCGGTGAGGTGTCAGTACATCTTGTACAATAGGTTCCCTTAAGTGACACAGAACCGAGTCTGTTTGGCTTTTGGATATGGTGGAGCACAAGGTGCATGATCCCGCTCTAAACATGGCAACTGTTACATCTGCGTTTTGTCACAGTAAATCTCCTTCTGCAAAGTGAACCTCTTCACTAAGACTGAGTTACACTTGACTCTTGCTGAAGTGCTGCCACTAGGAGAGAAGCAGACCTTATATATAATGTGTTTTGTGATTGTTACATGGAGAACCATATATCTCTCAATTTAAATGATAGAGGGTTGGTTTGCCTACTGCCTTGTAGCTGTTAACCCAGAATACAGTCCCTGTTAAATTCATAAAAATTGAGTCTATGAAGATTTCAGGAAGCTTTTTCATTAGGGAAAATTCCAGCAAGTTCAGTGCTTTTGAAATACTGACCTCTTTAAGAAGAATACACATTCGTATGGGCTGCAAAGTAAGATGTCGCCTAAATGCCTTCGTTAAAAGAGCAACAGGGTTGCTTCAAGACTTGGAAAATAAATCTTGGTTGCACTGCAGGTACGAAAATCCTGAAAGATTTAAGAAAATTTTTGCTTTTTCTTTTAAAGCTGACAAGAATGGAAGATTTCAGTGAAGAGTAAATAGAACAAAAATGGAGTTCGTTTGAAACAATGTGTTAGCACACTCAGCTATTAAAACTGAGAATTTAAATCAAAATCCAAATGGTGCAGTCTTATGTTTAATTAAGCTTGCTTTGTTACTTCTGGTTGGAAGTGTATACTGTCGGAAGGCAAAAGTTGTCTGTTTTCATTTTCACCTAACTGAAGGGCAGCCTAATTGTCTTTGCACAGAGGACTGTCGATCACTTTCAGAGCTGTGACTGAGCAATGCTCTTTGATCTGTCAGAATCCTTGGAATGTTTTACATTCTCAGTAAGAGTTCACCAGTCACTGAGAAAATGTGTTTTGAGGTGCGAACGCAGCACAGGCCAAGTTTGAAGATTGATTGATTGATTTTCCCAAATACTTGTTAGCACACTTCTACTAACATGAACACCTTACTTTAAGCACCCCCACAGCCTCTATCAGTTATGCTCTCAAATCCTTTAAAAGCTGTTACCAGTTTCACAAGTTATTGGAAGGCAACATCAATATTTACCTGGAAAGATTTATTTTTTCTTTAATGTACTTCCAGGAAAGAAAGAATTACTTTCTGATTTTGGATACAACTGGTGATGCTTGCATGGTATTTATACCTTTTTTTTTAAGAGCAAGTTTGAAAATTATTCATCTGCATTAAAGTGTTGTTTGAGGGAAGGTGGTGGGAAGGTCATTCTTTCACCTTTTATTTGATTGTAAGGAGTACTTTAAATACATGAAGGATTTCTGGTTGACTTATAGAGTGAGAAGAGGAAAGATTTTACTGTTGGTGTGCATAGGCTCTGAGGAAGAAACCAGACAGAGAAACTTGTTACAGATAGAAGTTGGCTTCTGTGATAAAAGCTTTGGGATAGGAAAGTAGAATCAATCTCTTTTGAAAAGCTTTTATTTGTGGCTAGCAATTTCAGTTGCTACCATTTTTGCAAAATAAAATGCAAGCAAATAAATTGCATGAAAACACTATCCAGTTACTCTTGTTTTTCATTTGACAGTACTTAACAACCGTCATTCCTTATGAGAAGAAAAATGGACCCCCATCTGTTGAAGATCTTCAAACATTAACCAAAAGTAAGCATATGAAGTTCCCCTACTGATGCTTCCTTCTTTGTATTTTCAACTGTGGTTGCTCAAAACCAGAGTGAATCCATACAGTTATCTCTTCCCCCTTACCCTGTGGCATGTATGTAAAGTTGCATGATTTTTTACCATGAATGTTGGCCAGTTTTTACTTGTTTTCTGAGCCTTTGTGGTGTGTTTGTTTTCTAGCTGTTCTCTGAAACCCTGAAGGCTAGAAACTTGCATGTAACAGAAAGTAAATGTTTTCACATTACTTCAACAGGTGGGCCTTACGGAAAATACTGCATGTCATGGAATCTGGCAATGCTGTCTTATAGTACCTGATCTACTCCCCTGTTTGTTTAAACTTGCTAAGTTATTGAGGTTATTGTAACGACTTTCAAAAATGGGAATGGATGAGTAGTTGTATAATGATTGCACTTGATTGCCTTTGAAATAGCCTGCTTCTCTCTGTTGTTTTGTTGTTGTTGTTAAGAAATTTTAAGAATTAGGAAGTATAAACCAAACAGAGTTTTGACAGTGCTTTGAATTCTCCTTCCTTCATATCTTTTTGGGCCAGATCTTCAAAATTATTTAGAAGTTTTAAGTCACCTGTTTTTGTTTTGTTGGTTTTTTTAATTCTAATTTGCATTAAAAATAAGGTTGTATTTTTAAAAAAAAATATTAAGGTGGTTAAATACAGCAGAACATCTCTGGGAATCAATGGCATCTCCTTCATTTGAGGTTTATAGGAACAGTTTAAAAATAGAGGGTAGAGTGCATCAATGTATTTGATCAAATCTCAGTGTAGGGCTTTGGATCTAAATACATCTTAAGGTGCTTTCCAGCAGCACGGGTCTGTGATTCCACAGGTGCCTGAGGGATAGTAGGAGGCTCACTGGTTGGTTCCTGGCAAGAGAAATTAAATACTATACAAATTCTGGGGTAAATTAAGTGTTTAAGCAGGAATTAAATTCCCTTTATTTTTCTGCAGTAGGCACCCCTGACTGGTAATTCATACTTATTCAGTGACAAATTGATTTTTTTGTTTTGTATTTACTCCTGCAGACAAATTTTATCCTCTTGCCATATTTAAATTTCACCTGAAAATATTCTCAAAAAACCAGTATTAATCTGAGAGAGGTTAAAGCCTGCTGAAAACTTTTTGTGTTTGGTGGTTTCTTAACAAAATGTCTTGTACAAATGCACTGTAAAGAGTATTAACAGTATTGCCTTCTGTGGTCTGGTTGGAGCTTGTTCCTGTGATTCAGTTGCAGATTGCTGACACACTCTCTGCTGGTGTTAAGGCAGATAGTAAAGCAGGTGTTTGGGATTGTTTGGTTGTTTTTTCTTTCAAAGCTGTGTATTATTCCACAGTTGTGAATACTAATGTCTGTCTTCAGCATAAAAATTGAAATAAAGCACCTTGGTGTATTTCAAGTTCAGTGTCTCATATGAAGAATTTGGAGTTTATTAAATACTGCTATTCAGTATAATTCTGTACTTCTGAGTCTTTCAGTTATGTCCAGAGCACTTCATAAAGGACTGCCGTTGTTTTTGTTTATGGAGTAACAGACAAGCTTATATGTGTCAAGTTGAGCTAGTCCCAATATTTTTCCTTCTTCAGAAATATGTGAGGATGGACAATTTTGATTTGATACAAGTCACAACAGTGGCCTTTTGGCATTATTCTAAGTGAATGCCAAATTCAGTCATGTATTTAAATTTTTTCTAAGCTACAGCTGCTAATGTTCACTGTTTCAGGGGAGAAAAAACACAGTATTTTCATCAGATCATTCACAACAGCATTTCTCCAGAAGAGTGTTATTTTCCCATGAGTCAAGATGAAGATCAAGGAAATAAATTAAGTGATGAGTGTACTTTTTTTGCCTAAGATTTCCTACTGTAGTGGTTAGCACAGTTTAGTTTTGGATGTGGTGGCTTTCTTTTGGAGAGTTTTTTTACAGGGAAGAGGTGGGGTTTTTTTTGTTGTTGTTACAACTGATAACATTGTACTGCAATAGTTAACCATGTAAAATGGGTCTCTTGAATCCATCTACTGTGGAGTTCAGTGAGAATTACACAAATGAAAAGTGGAGGTATGATGTGTCTCATTGTCTCTTCTCATATGCCAGTTAAGAGTTTTCTTACTAATGTGGTAGTAATATCCCTGTGAGTGGTTGAAACAGCTACGTGGTATTTGTTTTGAGAGTGTTGTCTTTAATTTATGACTAAATATCTGAATTTTTTTTTTCATACTTAGTCCTGCATGCCATGAAAGAGGATAGCGAGAAAGTGCCAAGCTTGTTAACAGACTATATTTTAAAGGGTGAGTATGTTTCTTAGCAGGGATTTTTTTTTTGTTCTAAATTAACTTAATGTACAGACAAGGTGTATTTGAAAAGAGTAGTCCTATAGCATTCATGAATTGTGTTGCCCTTTTATCAAACAGAGCTCTCATTTATATTCTATTCTATTTTGTCCGAGGTTTCTGAGCGTATAGTTCATAAATAAAACGTGTTATTTTGTTTGTGATAGTATAATATAGCAAAGTATGTGGTATATATTCAAATAGCTGAAGGACATCAGCAGGAGCAGAGCCTTCTGGCTTACAAAGTTAAATGGCTGTAGTTAAAAACTTGTGTTGTACTGGTTTTTCAGAATTTGAATTCAAACTGCTTATAGTAATAATCCATTTGCTAGATAAAGTGTTTATAGCTTCATTTTAAGTGTTACCTTCTGATCAATAGTAAAAATTCTTTATTTTACATTTGCTAGTTATACCTTCTTCACATTTTATTTAAAAGGTTTGTGTATGAGTCATTTGTTTTCCAGTCTTATATGTTGACCCCATGCAGCGCTACAGCCTTGGGGATGAGTGGCTGGAAAGCTGCCTGGCAGAAGAGGACCTGGGGGTACTGGTCGAGAGCCAGCTGAACATGAGCCAGCAGTGTGCCCAGGTGGCCAAGAAGGCCAACAGCATCCTGGGCATTATCAGCAATAGTGTGGCCAGCAGGAGTAGGGAAGTGATCGTGCCCCTGTACTCAGCACTGGTGAGGCTGCACCTCGAATACCGTGGGCAGTTTTGGGCCCCTTACTGCAAGAAAGACATTGAGGTGCTGGAGTGTGTCCAGGGAAGGGCAAAGGAGCTGGTGAAGGGTCTGGAGAACAGGTCTTATGAGGAGCAACTGAGGAAACTGTGGTTGTTTAGCTGGAGAAGAGGAGACTGAGACTGAAGGGGAGACCTTATCACTCTCTACAACTGCCTGGAAGGGAAGGTGTAGTGAGGTGGGTGTCAGTCTCTTCTCCCAAGTAACAAGCGATAGGACGAGAAGAAATGGCCTCAAGTTGCACCGTGGGAGGTTTAGATTGGACATTAGGAAAAATTTCTTTACCAAAAGAGTAGTCAAACATTGGACAAGGCTGCCCAGGGAAGTGGTGGAGTCACCATCCCCGCAGGTGTTCAGAAAACGTGTTGATGTGGCACTTGAGGGCATGGTGGTATTAGGTCAGTGGTTGGACTAGATGGTCTTAAGAGGTCTCTCAACCTAATGATTCTATGATTAATAGAATGTCAGACATTGAAAATCACTGCTGGCTTTAGCTTTAAGTAGTTCTTCCAGGTATTTTCCAGGTTGTTAAATTACATTTAAACCTTTTTCTTCTAACTTTGTTTTTGCCTAGAACATAGTGCTTATGTTCTTATTTCTTGACATATGAATGGTACTATCTTCTTCAGTGTTTAAAGTTTAGCATATTCATCAAACTCCCAAGATCTGAACAAAAGGGTTTGCGAAAGGATGGTGGATGCCTTTTTATTTACCACCCAAATGTATATTATGTTCTGCTTCATGTTCGTATGCTTCATGTTGTTCTTCTGGTATCATGCTTTCCAAGTCTCACTATTTTTTCAAATACAATCATTTGACTCAACTCCCTCCATGTGATTTTTAAAGGTTTTTGTATTTATAACACAGACTTCTAATCACTCTTATAATGCAGAGACTTGAAAGTATGTTCAGGTTAAAGTTGTGGATGAAACTTAATGTGCTTTTGCTTCAGAAAATCTGAAGAGATTGCCATGCAGTATTCTAGAAGCTCCGACAGACTTCCTGCTGGAAGAGGCACATTTCTAAGTTTTGTGTAGGGTTGCAGAGCTACCACATACATTAAGAATGCAGAGATCCTTTCAGTTGATTCTTTTGATTTCTCTATTGTTTAATTACCCTTTCTGAAAATCCTTAAATTAGACAGATGTGTTTGCTTATGAGCTGAGAGTCTTTTAGGCTCAAGATCAAGGCTGTTTTAATGGTGGTGGCACTAAACTTCAGTTTTGTGAAGCAGAACCTTTGACCCAAGATATTGATATGTTGTCAATAACGCTGTTTGCTCTTCATAACACATCTGGTAGAAGCCAATTGGAATGAATAGTGCTCTTTACAGTGTCTGCTCTTATTTTTAGATGTAGCTATCCAGAAAACCTTTCAAATTTCATACTGAAAAGAAACTGGCTGCCTAGGGAAATGGTGAAATCTGCAGAGAAGGCTTGTAAAAGTACATTAGCTGAACATGTGACAGGCTGATTGAGGAAGCTTGATACTGAGGTTCCTTCCTACCTCTGCCTCTGCATGCTCGTGACTTTAAAATCACTGGGGATGTTCTGCTAGCTAGGTGTGACAATTATGAAAATGTAATATGCACATTAAATGTGTTGGGTCAAACAGGTCATCATATACAAGCACTTTTGTCTCTAAATTGCAAAACACAAATAATGAGAGTATGAAGAGTAATCACTCACATCACTCATACTGAAAGGAAAAGGTGATTTCCCCTCAGCCACCATTTCATTACTGAGCTGAACTAAGCCTTTCTTACTCTTCTGTGGGTCTGTTTGCACAATGGCAAGCAGTCGTACAAGCTAGTGAGCCCAGAATTTTATTCTTGCTTTCAATGTAGCCTTAACTAAGCCTCACATTGCTATGATTAGATTATGTTAAATGTTTATAGCTCATCTGACAGTGTTAAATTGCAATGTAGATTTATCCTGTGCAACAGGCAAAGTCATAGCATCATAGAATCCTGAGATTGGAATAGACCTCTAAGATCATCAAGTCTTCGAATTGTTTCTGAAGTTGTAATCTGTTTCTCTTTCTGCCACTAAAACCTCTGGACTGAAGCCTCAGTGAGGCTTCATATGTGGCACAAAATACTCCCAGCCACCTGTCTATCATCTGGAAATTATTTTTAAAGCTTGTTAAAGGGAGATTAGATGGTTTTATACAATTGCTTAAAGCAACTTTCAGATCAGCTTATGTATGTGAAATTCCAACCTATTCCTTGAATTTCAAAATAAAAGGAGTGACCTGCTTTTTGAAGAGTCTGCTCTCTTCACTGGAAAGATTAAAAATGTCTTGGCAAGATGAAAATGCTTATGAGGATTTAGGGGTTTGAATTTGTTTTCAAAAAAAAGCAGGAGGATAACAAGTTTTGGACCCAGTAATAATCATCTGTATGGTATAGTGATAATTGTATTGATTTTACATTTGTTCACTCTATGATCCAGCTGTTGTCTTACACTGAATGGTTTTCATTTCTATTTATTAATCTTTAATCAAGAAGTGAGAATTTGAGGTGTGTGAATTATGTCACCAAAGATACTTTGTTCTGTTAAAATCTGTTAGCTACTTCTTCCTTTGAGGAACATTTTTTCCAGTCTTACAACAGAAAAACAGTCAGCAAATTATATATGACGATAGGGTATGTGTAGCTGTATGGAAAACCCAGTTAGTGTGGCATTTGTCAGGACAGCAGAGCAAAAAAACCCCAAAACCTTACAAGTCCTTAATGATTTTTTTTTAAAGCAGCACTGTCTTTACTCTATGGAATTTAGAAAATTAGAACATGCAGTCTTATGTGGGTGTTATAGCTGTCCACAGAATTAGTAATAAACTTGCCCAGTATTGTTGGTTACTGTTGAAAAGTTACTTAGATTGTAAGAAGCAAGAGCTGAAGAAAAAAAATCAGGAAAAAAGTGATTCTAACAATTGCCGTAGTATTGTCGGCATAATGTAATGGGACAAATAAAAGAAGAACGCTGTGAACCTGGAAAGGTTAATGGAACTGTAGGATTGAGCAGCGAGTGTTGATTTAACAAGAAATTACGCCAAATTCACTGGTGTCCTGGTAAAAATGACAGTGAAATAAGTTTATATTTTCTCTGAATTTCACAGTCTTTTGTAGAAGTGTCACCATCTTGAATATGTTGAACTAAATGCCAAAATAATTCTGAGATTTGTGAAAGACTAAATTTGGATCATGTAGGAAGACACACAGACAACCCTCTCTGTGTGTGCCATCTAATACTGGATATCTTCATTTAATGATTGAGTAGGTTTGTTTTGGGAAGGCAGTTTGGGCAAGAGCTGGAGCATAGGACTGGAACTTGAAAGAGAGTTCTGCAACCAGATCTGCTGTTGACCTTGTATGTTACCGTGGATGATTCTTGCACTTTTTTCCGTAACCAGCTAATGCTTCTGAAGTGCTGGCAGTAGAAATCCTCAGAACATGGGATGTGCAAATCCGGTATGATAAAAGTAGTGGAAAAGGCCAGTGCAACTCGGTGCATTTCATGTTTAGGGGGAAAAAAAAAAAAAACCACCTCCATATGCATTTCTGAATAGGATTATTAATTTTGAAATTATTTCTCGTGTTTGCTTCTTTAAAGCAACCTCTTTTTCCAATTTCTACCGCCCCCTTGTGGGCCCCAAAGTGTTTAATTAAGTTCCTCTTTCCAGTAATCAGTTAGCTCTCCTCTGGACCTATTGCATAGGGAGTATCTCCTCAGAGATAAGTATCCCAAAGCCAGACTGTGTACATATTCTTATGTAGGTTTTTGTACAATGCAGTAACTTACCTTTTCTTGTTCGTGTTACTCTTGATGCAACCTAAATTATTTTCAAGAGAATTTTTTTTCAGTTTGTGAGGTTTTGTTTCTTTTTGTTTTTCAGTGAACATTTCCATCCATGAAGTTAGTAATAATGAAAGGGACTTAGCGATTTGCTTTGCAAGTAAATTGTAGTTCTTCTCCCACCAGTGTGATTCATATTATATTTTATAGATTTAGAATTAAAATAGATGGTAACGTGAGATTGATAAGCATTTGCAATTGTGCTTAATTTTTTCTGAATATATTTTAATATATTAATATTGTTGTTATATTTTATCACTAGGAGTCATGAAGTAGAAACTGAGATTTGGAAGAGGGTGAGGGAATGCATTTGCTGACAGGGAAAGAAATACCAAGTCAACACAGTTAAATTCTTTGTCTTAGATCTTTCTACTGATCCTTTTTTGATGGTTTAACAAATACAATGAGCTTTGAAAACATTGTGTTTGTTTCCATTGAAAGACCTACGCAAGCAAGTAAGCAGCGTTGTTTCTTTTGCACAAGTTAAGCTGCAAACCAGGGAGCACAGATGGAGATATTTTTGTCATATCTTGTAGTTGCGTTGCTTTTAGGTGTTGCAACAAGAATAGGTACCATATCCCTAGATGAAAGCATGTTTTTATTGACTATACCCATAGAATTTTTTTTTTACAGAAGCTTTCAGTCTTTCTTCTTGCATGTATAATGTAATGACTTGCTGCATTATGAATTATTTGCCAAGTACAGTAATGCAACAAGTAGTAGCATCTGTAATCCTTGAAGTATGCAAGTTTAGTTTGCTTTCTAAAGAAAATGCCTCTGTGCAGTCACATTGTCTTTTCAGCCTCACAAATAACAACTGCCAATTTCAACCCTACAAGACAGAAAGAAGCATTGCAGGAATAACTGCATTTAACAAATACTGTAGGGAACTGCATTTAGGTAGAAGGACTGAAACCACTGTTTCTATTGAGCTAAAGGCTACTGGCTTTGAAAAGCCAGCATCCAGTTGGTCAGATAGCTGTTATGAGTTCACATACTGGTGAATGCACTTACAGTAGTTCCTATTGGTTTGGTGGCGTGAGGGCAGAAGAACAATGTGGGGATTATCTGCTGGGATGGAGTTCATAGCAAATTTAAAATAGAAGCTGAGGAAGTCATTGTGAGAAGGGGAATTACCTGGCTTTATTGTTATGAGGGTAAGGAGGAATATCTGAGGGAAGTCCACTGGAAGCAAGGGTTCCTTAATTTAGCTGCTTACGGAACAAATCAATTATATCTGTGAAATGTTAACCTGTAGATATACACAGAATCCAGATATTAGGGATAGGTTGTCTGGTATCCTATCTAGACACGTTATTTCAAGATCAATAGTTTTTACTTCCGGTCTTAAAAAAATTTGAAGATTTAACTTTATGTACTACCGGTATGATATGCAAACTGAATAAATCATTCTCTGTACCCCTGCAAGGTTAATTATTTTTTTCCTTAATTGGAGAGCACATGTAAGTGTAAATAATTGTGTCATTCTTAAAACATAACTACTATATGTAACAATATGTAAGAATGTATTTATAGCTGAAATAATTGCCTTGGAAATCAGATGTGTCCTTACAGTAAACTGTTCTGAGATGTATTTATTGCTAAGCTTTGTTTTCTTTTCCAATTGTTCTTGAAGAGTAATTGTGACATAAAAATACAGTGCTAAAAATAATATGTCTTACATCACTACTGAGTAAAATGCATGAATTATGTCTGGTGTTATTTGCTTTTAGGCTTTTTTCTGAATGTAGATGTCATGAAAGCAGAATAATTTTCCATCTTTAAGCTTGCTTTGCTATTTCGTATCTGATCTTTCAAGCTTCTAGTAATGGCTTGAAAAAACCCAGTTTTTTGTTTTAATAAAGCAAGAATTTACATCTTGTTCTATTTAATCATGCAAGTATTTCAGCTAACAAGAACATTTTTCTTGCCTTTGATGTTTTTGTTTAGTTGTTACACTTGACTTCTTTATTTGCTTTTGTGTTGTGCTAGCATTGGTTTGAAAGCTGGATTGCTCTGAGGTTTGTGTCTTACATGTGAAACAGGAATGAGAAACATGTGAAGGACATGTCTTATCTTCCTGTGATTGTGTGATTGAAGTACATGCACCAGAATTAGAAAGTAGTTAGAATCTCAACTTGTCAGTGGATATTTTTAAAATATAACTGCATCTGTCACCTTTTATTTAATGTTCTATTTTCTAACAGAACATCACAAAAAGCACTGTTTAAGACATGACCTTTAGTTAACTCATTTCTGAATAATATTAGTTAACAATAGTGGGTTGTGTCACTTAATTATCTTTTGAGAAGAGGATGATATCATAATTAGCAGTTTGAACTGATTTCTAGATTTTACCCTGTTACTAATATGGCAGAAGTCAACACTTAAGTATTTTAGTGTATACAGTACATTTCTATACAGACCATCTTCACTGATGTTTATCAAGATGTATTTGTGGTTCTTTTGCAGTTCTGTGTCCTACATGAAGAGTGCTGCCTTTCAGAATTAACCATGCTCACTTCTGTGATAAGAAGCTTTCCGTGGATATAACTCATATTATTTTTCCATTTTGCACTATACCTAAACCAGTATGCATTTACCTCCTCTGTGTGTGTGGATTTTCTGATCCTACACTAAGTCTTCTGGGCATGACAACTCATCCATTTTAACTTAATAGTGCAATGAACTGGAGCAGGAAACAAACATTGTACAGTTTTACTCACATTGTTCTGGCTTTTTAAAGTCTATTTTTACATTGTATAACATGTAGTAAATCCTCCTGCACATTTTGTTGTTGGAAGGAAAAGTAAACTTTGTAAATAAAATAAGCCTAGTTTTAAGGAATCCATATTTAAAAGCATCCTTAGTTCCTATAGCAAAGATGCAAAAAGGATCATAGTCGGGCTTGGACTAAAAAATTCGGGAAGCACTCCAGAACAGCGTTGGCAGAAGTCAGTATTTGTCGCTTCTTTTAAAACGGTAGCTTTGATTGTACTATACAACGATATTGTTCATACAGTGAACAAATCCAGATTCTTTGATGGTTTGCCATAAGTAATTGGTGTGTTTCCTATCCTTGTTATTTAATACAAACATCCAAGTAATGTAATATTTCATATTTGGTTTTATTTTCATTATTAATGTTCATGTGACAGATATTGTCCCATATTGCTGCTATAATTTTACTGGTTTTAATAAGTGTTTGATCTTAATGAAAATGCTTCAATATATAAACATTTTTAAAGGCTATATCTTTTTAAAAATACATGTACAGTTTGAAAAACTTGCACCTGCGTTCCAGGTTAGTATTACTTTGAGACGTTCATTGTTGTGTATCTAAACTTTACTACAAATCTCTCTTGTAAATTGTATTCAGTCTCCTCTGTGTTGATGTATCTGCATTCAAACAGATGAGAATGTATTTTACAAATTCTGTAAAACAAACGTACCCTGTAATCTAAATATTAAATACTTGTCACAAGTAATTTTGCTAGTCTTAAAGATTAGATCAAAATATAAGGAGTACTAATAAAAATAAAGGAACTGTTTTCTAGGTTGAATTCCTGTTGATTTTACATCCAGATTTAGAAAGTATATATGTGAAGGCACTGGAAGATAAGGTTCTAAAGAGATAAACGTATCTTTTCTTCAAACAGTTTTCTCCATTTAAAGTCTTCAGCCTTTTTTTTGTTATTTGGAGAGGAATTTGCTCCTGAATATCTTGTGTCACTTCTTTAATACTCAATTTTATCATCGTCACCAAATACTCATTTTGATAAGTAAAACGTATTCAGTTTGAAAATAGTTCTCATAATGCTTTCTCTTTTTTCTTTTTTCTAAAGGTCTCAATGTTTTTATTTTGTGCTTTTTTCAGGCAGTAAAGTTTTCAGGTTAAAATTCTTTCTTACTCACTCTCCCCGACTTAACCACTAATGGATACTTGCCAGCCTGCTCAAGAATAAATAGATCGTCTGCATAAGTGTGTCACATGTAAGGAAGTGGGGTTTTTTTGTTGCTTTATTCTACTTCATTTGTGGTTTCTTTAACAAGAAAGCTGCCATTTATTTCTGATATGTTACGAACTCATTATGGCATGCTTTTTCAATAGAAATGCTTGATGTTGGCTGTTGATGCCTGGAAACTGGCAAAGGGGATGACCCTGCTTTGCTTCATGTTTTTTAAAAAAGGTACACTACCCGTGTCATGAAACACACCATGTCTCCAAATGAGATCTGTTCAGAGGTGTTTCAATCTACTTTTGAGGCTTGAGGTGACAGGATGGAACAAAAAAGAAAATTAAGGGAAGAATTTAAAAAAAAAAATTGACAAAGTTTGTGGTGTTAGTTGTAGCAGATCTTGGATGACTTAAAGTCGTGAAATACTAAAAGTAGTAAAACTTGAAAGAAAACCCAACACTAAAGACCAGAAACAGCTTTAGTGAGCTAAGGATCTGTTTGAGTCTATCAGACTAAAGATTTCGTTATGAAAAGTATCTGTTTGCCTTGTGTGTAGAATCCTGGCATTAAACAACAGCTGCCAAAGGTGGCAAGTATTATATATATACACCTATATATGTGCATAAAAAGTAGATCTCAAAACATTTAAATAAAAAGAACCATGTAAATCTGCTTTTCTGCTGAGTGCTATGTGCTTCATATTCTCTATTATGCATCCTTTTTCCAGAGACATTACTGAATCTTGCATTCTTTTAGGGAGCTGGATTTCATTATTCCTTTTAGTTTTAGCATGTGATAGCTCTAAATGGCCACCCAAGAACAGTTGCTGACAAGTGCTCTAGAAGAGATTCGGTAAAAATTAATTTTTACCAAAATGTGTTCTATTTTTAACATGAAGGATCCTAGAAGCAAAGTCATTTTAGATTACTTAAAGTTATTTGTATCGCTTGCTTTAATAGCCTTTGTTTATTTGTTTTTCCCTTTTTTTTTTAATCCAACCCTTATTTTGGGTTTCAGCTATTTTGTTTGATGTAAACTTATTCACTTGCTGGCTGCAGTGAAATTTGGAGTGGGACTGTCTGGACAGTGTATCAGAGGTGTTTAAGAGTCCTCAAATTACATTTCCTTGGTTAAGGAAAGAAACTTGAAAACAAGGTCAGTTCCTTTCTGGTGAAAGATAATGGTGTAGATGGATTCCCAGCTGGGGTAGGTAGTTGGTGATAAAGAACATCTGCTGTGGACTGTGCCAGGTGATTGTAGCTTTAACTTGGAGCAGTGCTTTTATTGCAGTGTTGTTGCTTCCAGGCTGAAAAACCGTGGTATTCTTTCTGCATGCATGTCGCTTGGAAACTTCAGCTAGCCCAGGAACTGCACTCTGTGTGCTTGGCAGCAGTGTTGATAATCAAGTGTGTATCTTTGCACAGTATCGTTTACAGCAGCTGCCGCCTCATTTCCAAGGGGACAATTTAAGATCCAACTTCAGGAGTTGAAACCTGTAGATGGTGCAGAGCCTGTGTAGCAGGAAGGCTGCTTCTCCAGCTGTGGCAGCAATGGGCAGTGGAGATCAGCAGCTTACTCCACTTCGAACTGCGTCTACCCAATTCAGCAGGGAAGAGCCTAGAAGCAAAGCTTTCTAGTGAAGCATTCTCCACTCCGATGCACCCACATCGGAACTTACTGTCTCGTCTCATCATTCTGCAAAGCATATCTTTCTTTTGGGTGATGGGGCTGTATTGTAACTAACAGAGTCTGTGTGGGTTTGGAGCTATTTTCTGATTCAGGTATCAGTCCTAATTTTTAAAACTTCTCATGAACCTCCAAGTTAACCCTGGATATAAAGTCACTCCAGAAACCATAAAAACTGTCATCCCCTAAAAAATGAAGTCTCAAGAACAAAATGGATCTTGAATCTGTTGGGTGAATTTAGTGTTCTGCTTCCCTTGGGGGCACAGCAGTGCTTATTTTAAGCCTAAAAAGAAACTCTGGTTGTCGTACAGGAAATCTAGCTGTTCTAAAGCTGAGATAACATAATTTCTTTTCAATATGTCTACAATTTTGCAGGTAGCAGTGAATGCTAGGAGGTTTTTATAGGGCCCATCTAATTATGGAGAAGTGCTGGATACCATCCTTGGAGAGCGTTTCTTGTCACTGACGAAGCAGAAGGAATGCTTTCATTTTTTTAAGTGCTTTATCGTAGCTGGGGAAATGAAGTGTCTTGTTCCCTTTCTCGTGTTCTTTTGATCAGGACCTACCTCAGGACTTCTTGCATTTTCAGTGAATGTATCAATCAGCGATGGCTCTCTGGATTAGCTGATCAGCCCTAACAATAATGGTTGAAGAAACTGTATGAACTGGGAGAACTAGTTAACTGAATTTTGTTGCTGTGTTTTGTTTTTCTTTCCTTTATAATGGGCAGAAGTTGGATAGAAGCCTCTATTTGCACTGAATTATAATTTAAACATAGCTTATATTTTTGTTGTTCATTTTGCAACCTATCTTTGTGTTTGGGGTTTATGTTAGTTTTAGGTAACAAATACTAATTTTCATTTTCTGTAGCGTTGCGTGCAAATTTATGAATTCAAGTACGTGTTTCTTGGAAACATGTTACAACTTAGGCTAAATAGAATGGGAAGAAAAACTCAGCAGGGAAGGTAATGTGTTTGGATTTTCTTGATCAGGAAAAGATTTGGACAATCCCTCTGTTTTCAAAACTATGGAAAGCAGATTCTGACCCTACGTCTGTTTCTGTTGATATGCAATCCTGTGCAGTTCTATGGTTTGATGGTGTTCAGGGCCCTGACCAATTCAAATAAAACAATTCAGATTTTCCCACTGACTGCATTTTTGACCTTCAGAAGTATTCCATTGCCCAGCTCAAGGAGGCTGGTGTACAAGAAGTCTTTCAAGTGAAATGGCATCATTGCTGTTAAAATGTCAGTTCATTTTTATCTGTAGACAAATCATTGACTGCTCCCAGGAATGTTTCTCCTTCTGCTTCTATTGGCTTCACAGGAAAACTAATCGTGCAAAGTAAGCCCCTTACAGATCATGTTGCTTGTCTGTGTGTTTTGGAATCAGGTTGGAAAATTCCTAAATTAGCATGGGAGTCCTTCAAAACACCTTACAGCTATTTCATCATGGAAAAAAATCTTCACACTATTACCTGCATTCACCTCATTCCAACCTGTGTGATAGAAATTGTCCTTGAGATAAATTTGAAAAAGACAAATGCAGAACCTCTGTCACTTTCATTTCCAGAAGAAGTTGATGTTGTCTGCTAGTGCTAGCGTGAAAATAGTTGAGTAGAGAGCTGCTTCCTTCTACATGCATCTGTTGTTGATGCATGGAGGGAACAGTCATATCAGGCTGATCTAAACCTCACTGTCATGACTGAGCTTTTGCCTAAAATTGGATGATTGCTTCCTCTAAATGCGTATCTGAGATCGCAAAAGATCGAGGCCTTAGAAGGCTTCACTTCGCGTTTGGTGCAGTGGATGATTCCCCAGTGAACATGCTGGACATTGAAGCACAACGTGGCACTGCAGTTGCCTGTTAGAGTGAACAGTGCGAGAGCGAGCTGTGCTACATAAGCACTTGATACTGAAGGAGGGTCTTGCAGAACCACTGCAGTGGTGACAGCTTCAGTAGGACAGGGCCCTTGACATCCTTAAAATTTTTATAGTGCATTTCAGCTATGAAGGATGGACAGGGATGTTATCTTTCCTGTTTCTGTAGACATTGCTTTTCCAGTGCTTCCTAAGTTTTGGTACTGCTCTGAACTGACTTAAGAGGTTAAGGTATGACTTTGCTGGCTTACGACAGTAAGTGTTGAAATTTGGGGTAAAAATCAAGTAAAATCCTATAGTCTTCAGGGTGATTTTAAGTGCCCTG